CATGGAGCAGAAAGTATGGGCCTCGGTACAAGCACTTTCCTTGAGGGAGCGCCAGCAAGTCGGGCTGCGATCCAGCGTCGCGCGAGCGAGAACGAGAATCAGTTTTCCCAGAATGGAGGTCTTGCGCGAAAGAAGAGCCTTGCTCAGAGACTACGAGGCATCAACAAGCCGCAAGGTGGACGGATGGTGTCCCCCGAAGCCTCCTATAATGCTCCACTCAGCTCGAGCCACTCCGGGTCGCTTCGTGCGAACGAGAAGAACCCATTCTTCCAAGATTACGATGATGCCTGGGAGAAGAAAGGCGCTCGGATCAACACCGCCGAGGAGTCACGGTCAGGCATTGAAGGTGGCCGTGCACGGTCTTCCAGCAGTCCCAAACAGACCACCAACCTGGAAAGAAGGTTCACCAATGAACGCTCGAATACCGGGTTTGAAGATGGGAAGAGCGGCGGCGGCGGCGGCTTCATCAACAGAATGAAGAGTTTGCGGAAGCCCCGGCCCGAGCGGCGGGTCAGCAATGACTGAGCTGGCTAACCTCAAACCGGCTTCTCGGAAGATTTGCCTTGTGCTGTTTCTGCTCCAGGGGCTGTGTCGATCCGATGAACCCGACCGGGAAGCAACGGATTGAAGGACGCTTGGACGCGTCTGTGCCGGACTCGCCGGGATTATAGTATGCGAGTATGTATCATAATCTCTTACTTGCCGTGATACCCATGGTATTCGGACATGCTTGTACCGCATCGTAGCGGGGACGCCTCTTGGCATGTTGACATGCCACGGTATTTATACCTCTGAACATTTTGTTGAGGCTTTCTAGCACCAGGATGGGGATACGATCTGTACAAGCTTGTGAAAAGTGAGCTGGAGACATTATCTGCTCAGTAGAAGCTTGCGTGGGGTGCAAAAGGAGTGGCGTTTGTTGGGATTGGGAACTGGATATGCGATGCTGCATTGCCCGGATGGGTTTTGTCTTTCACACCCTAGTTTCTTTCACGTATCGCTCTATCACGAGGGTAATGTCATTTTACTAGATTCAATCATACATCATACAGCGTACAGTGTTACTTTGTGTCTGTATTCAAGTCAATTGAACTTGGTTCCGGAAAATCAACATATTGCAGGCGGTTTACCAATGATCAACGGGTAGATTAGCTAGCTTGTGATCGCCCAGACGTAAACTCTCGAAATAATCTAGAGACAAGAAGCATTTGTATATCAGATTTTGATACGAAGTATTGGAATATACACAAGACAAAACGCCCACACCGAACCCATTTCATAAACCAACCCAATCCTGCTGAAAACAAAGCCCATGCGTATCCAGGTTCAGACGACAGAGAGACCGAATAACTTGCCGAAGAAGCGTGAGCAAAGCAAGCCAGCATTATGCAATTTGCCGATCGTGACGGAGAAAGAGATTAAATGAAATCGAAATACGGAAGAGACATGATCATCATGAGTGCGAGCACGAGCACGAGCACGAGCACGATTAGCTATGCCTATGCCTATGCCTACGCCCTTGTGGCTTGACTCGGCCGGAGAGCGTAGGGGTTTGGAGCGGGGATACCTGCTCGCCGCTTGGATTGGGGCTTGGGTCTGGAGAGTGTGTATCTATTTCGTCAGGGGTTAGAACCAGTGCCTATGAAGAAAGGGGAGGAGTCACGGGCAATGGGGACTTACTTGGCGAATGCCCTGGAGAGGGCCTTCTTGCAGCTGATCTTCTGGCTGCCGATGAAGGAGTCGACCGTTACGGCGATCGCGCGGTCGATGTCCTGGGCGGAGCAGTACTCGGACAGACGCATCTTGCAAAAGGCTTCGGCGATACGCATGATGGCTTCCAGGTGACGGACCTGATTGTGGTTAGCATGATAGACGGAAAGAAGATATGTTGGAAACCACGTACAGTGATGGGGTAGGCACCAGTGGCCAGGGACTCCCGTCTCATGTCGGCGAAGAGCCGCGCGATCTTGTCCTGATCGATCTGGTAAAGCTTCGGGTGGCATCTTTCGCGCGCGTACAGGATGTACTTCCGTAGGAGCTCCTGGGGGATCTCGCCCTCCTTCTCTTCTTCCGCCTTGCGTTGGGCTGCTTCACGCTTGGCGATTTCCTCGGGAGTGGGGGGCAGGCGGTTGCCATGCTTATCCAGGCGGTAACCTTCCTCATCGATCCGGTTGCCTTCCGAATCGATCAGATTGCCGTCCTGGTCCCTGAGAGGCCGAGTGGGGTTGGCTCGGTGGTGAGACTCGACGACGAAGTTGGCTAGACGCTCATCTTCGGTCGGCTCGACCATGTCCCGCACGACACAGAGAATATCGAAACGCGAAAGAATGGGCTCTGTGAGCTCGACGTTCTGGGAGAACGGAATCGTGCTGTTGTAGCGTCCACCGATGGGGTTGGCGGCTGCCACCACAGCGCAGCGGGCTTGCAAGGTGGTAACGATACCAGCCTTGGAGATAGAAATGGTCTGCTGTTCCATGGCTTCGTGGATAGAAGTCCGATCCTGATCGTTCATCTTATCAAACTCATCGATCAGACATGTGCCTCGATCCGCGAGCACCAGAGCTCCTCCTTCCAGGGTCCATTCGCTGGTTAAAGGATCGCGACGGACGCTGGCTGTAAGACCGACAGCACTGGCACCTTGACCGGTTGCAAAGACCGCTCTATGGGCAGTCTTTTCAACGTACTTCAGCACCTGCGACTTAGCTGTACCGGGGTCACCGAGAAGGAGCACGTTGATGTCTCCACGGATAGCCATCTTGCCTTGGGCTTCCTTGCTCACGCCACCGAAAAGCGAGAGGGCAACAGCGGTCTTCACGTCCTGGTGCCCGTAAATGCTTGGCGCGATAGAGCGCACGATCTTATCAACAATATCGGGGTCTCTGGACAAGGCACGAATCTCGCGCTCATCTTCTTCGGTCAAGTGGAAACCAGCCAGCTGGTCGTGCGACTTGACGACATGATTCGCCTCGATGATCGTGGCAAAAACAGGGAAGCCGTTCTTGTTGTTAAGCTGAGCGTCGTAGCTGTTCCTGTAGATACCAGTCACCTCAATCTCATCACCTGGCTTGGCAGAATCGATGAGATCTGCAAGTAAGACGACTTCACGCTGACGCGGCAGTCGTCCGGCGGGCACGGAGCCCGGGGATTCTTGCAATGTCAGCTTTTGGTAGTTCCGGTAGACAGTCTTTTCTGAGTTGATGGTAAACGGCCCCTTCGACTGGCAGTTCTGACAGTAGGAGATTTTGACTTCCGCGCTCGCTTCCTGCTGGAAAGGTCCCAATGTGATATTACACTTCTGGCAAATGAACATCACATATTTCAATTGCGGGAAGACACCGGTCCGGCGGGTGACAACTCCACTGACACGGACAAGGGAGTTCAGATGTTGCTGGCGCAGCTGCCGTAAGGTGTAGACGATCGGAAGTTCTGAGATTCGGACATGGATCTCGTTGTGAATATCATGATATTGAGGGTAGTGGAAGAGAGTGACATCAAGCGCAACTTGGTCAAAGACCTTGAGAACCTCGGTTGGTTCATTCGCAAGGAAGTAAGAAAGAGCGGCCTTTGTGGAAGTCAAGTGGACATAGGAGACCTCGAGTGATGCAGAATTCACCTCACCCAGGGTTTTGATCTTGTTTCCGTAAACTGACTCACCAGCTTGATCGGTGAATTCTGTGAGGAAAGCCTTGAACTCTCGATAGATAGAGCGCAGAACTTGTGGCTGCAGTACCCAATCCGTGATGTTGGCCGCCTTTACATCAGCTAACTCCTCCAGGGAGAGCTCTTCCATGGCGTCATCGCCCATTTCAATATCCTCACGGTCCTCATCGTAATGATGTCTTCGCCGCCGAGGCTGGCGAGTGAGGTCCATATCACCTTCATCGTCATCTTGCAAGAATGCGGCGGGCATACGGCGGCGACGCTCGAGCTCGCGATCTCTTCGGTTCAGGCGAGCATCCAGCTGCCGGCGAGTCGCAATGTCAAGTTCTTCATGGTCTCCATCATCGTCAATGTATTCGCCTTGATAACGGTCGTCTGCAGCATCTCGGTAATCTCTTTCAAAGTTGTCCCCGAACAGGTCGATTCCATCTTCATCCTCTGCCATCTCATCAATATCGTCAATGTCTCCCATGAGTTCTGCTTCTTCGTCTCTTTCGTTGTCATCGTCATCAAAGGGGAGCATAGGGGGAGAGGAGGGAGGAGCTGGAAAAAGTCAGCCATCCACTAATTCATTTGTGATTTTCAATGCGATAAAAACTTACGGCTTGAGGGAGGAGCAACAGACGACACATCATCGTCAGGCTCTCTGGATCTTTTACGTCTGTTCAATCTCCCCAAGCCGCGATTGGCGGCAGATGTGCTGGGTCGAAGTGGTGAACTGCATCATGAGGGTGATTAGACCACTGACAAAAAGCGCCGAGTGCTTCTTCAGCCAACGATGCAAATGTGCAGGTTAAAGTACATACCTCATTTTGTGTAATATTCAGTCTGGCGCTCAAGGATGAATAGAACAGACTGAATTGGCTATGTTCACAGAAGTTGCTGGGAGGACAGACACTTCTTGCAGTGGTGGGAGAGGAGCGAAGGGAGAAAAGAATCCTTGGCGGTTGTTGGTGCGCGGTAAACGACGCGTCGAGGCGCGACTTGCACGCGTCAGATTTCAATTAAGTCCTACTTAGGTAATTCTCTTGCCTCATTCGGACGTTGCCGCTTTTAGAGGGCGAAGGCGAGTCAGGTGACTCACTTACCCTCGAAGGTTATTTGCTCATCCCTTTGGCTCGTTCAAGGGCACTACATACGCACATCCTGGGTTCTCTCTTTTGTCAGTATCTTCGCTGCTTTCCCAGTTCAGATTCTTCGTGATCCAGGCGATGCTTGCTTTTTACTTGTAAGTTGTAAAATGCTTCATGGCGCAATAATGCTCACTTTCGCCCTGGGCGGCACTGGTCAAGTACTTCCTTCCCCGACAAATCATCAAGGAAAGAATTTCAACGAATTGGCTAAAATTTCTGAGCGCTGTACTTTCTCATCCAATCAATCACAGTGCGGTAACAAAGCAAATTATTTTCCGGATTGACGATCGGATCACCTTCGTCTGGGAACACCAGAAGCGCACTATTCACGCCTCTGAGCTGGAGAACAGTGAAAGCGGCTAATCCATCGGCAATGACCCTCTTGTAATTCAACTCGCAATGGATAACTAAATGCGGAGTTTGCCAGCTCGCAGTAAATCGTGCTGGATCCCATTTCCTCCACTCATCCGGAGTTTCCCAAATGGGACCTCCAAGTTCATTGATAAAGTGTTGCCGATTGCTTGCTAATTGGGAGGTCATACTAAAAATCCCATCATGCGTCACAAGGGCCTTGAATTTACGGCCAAACTCATGGCCTTGGATCCAGTTAACCATGTATCCCCCGTACCCGGCACCAACCGCGACGGAGCGAGTAGTGTCAATGTATCGGAGGCTCTCATTTTGTTGCAGATATTCAAAGCCTCGCTCAAGGTCTATATAAGGCAGCGCGCCCCAGGAACATTGGCTGGAATCTATGAAAACTTGCCCAAACCCAGAGCTCCCTGCCGGGTTGGGCGCAACAACAACAAAGCCATGCTCTGCGAACAATGCCAAATTCCATTGGACGCTCCACTGGTTGTTCCACGCGCTCTGAGGGCCGCCATGAATAAAGTATGCCAATGGGTATCGCTGCTGTGGGTCGAACTTGGACGGTTTGATCACCCAGGCCTGGATTCTGCGATTGCCAGTGCTATCGAACCAAATCACATCGACTTGTGCCTTAGAGAGCCCCAGATCCGTTGCGCGACTTGCAGATAATATCTTGGGGAATTCGGTCAGAGCGGCTAGGTCAAAGATATTCCATGTAGGGGTCTCGACTAGGCTGCTGTGAGTGATCAGAATTCTCGATGAATCCGATCGCACCGGTGTCACATGCGCAATAGATCCAAAACACCATGGATCAACCAGTCTCAATGCCGCAGGACGTAACCCCTCCCAGTAACGACCAAGTTTAAGGTGATATTACATCACCCGCCCACTCTGCTCTGTCTGGATAAGAAGCGTACGGTTGTTCCCAAATGAGATGGCGCACGGGCTAAGATCCCATAGTCCGTTGCCATCAGCAGATGCGAATATCTCATACACATCATAACTTCCTGGCGCCGGTATGTATATGATGCGATTTTTGTCGGCCTTGTTTCCATCTCTCTTCTGGGATAGGAAGACGACTGGTCGATTTTCATCTGACTTATCCACTGCAAGTGATGATATTGCTCCTCCTAATCCCCGATACCGCCATACTTGATAGATAAGGTCTCTGTTCTGTTGATCCCAGCGTTCCACGGGTTGGACATAGCATGAGCATGCTGTATGAGTAGCACTGTTGACTTCTCTGTCCCTGGCAACAAATACCATGGCAAAGGGGTTAATTTCAAATTCTCGCGAGGTCTCTTCCCCTCCCAAAGGTGACATGGGCGACTCTAACCCCTCTAGTCCCGCAAATATCATGAGATTAGAAATGCCCGAGATACTATACCGACTCCCCGGCTTGGACCCTCTTCGCAGAGACCCATACCAGATGGAGTTCTTCAATTCGCTCACATACGAGCATTCATCTCTGACTGGAAAGGTAGTGTAGAAACGGCCAGTGCTATGGCCAGTGAATCCCGCAATCTGCTTCGGGTTCACCAGAGACCCATTTGGATTTGCCCTGCCACTGATCGCAAACGCGAGATCGTTCTCGTCGTCCTCTCGAAACGGAAGTTGCCCGGTCACCTTGAGGTCAAAGGCTTGGCCGGGGACTGTGCCGGCTTTATAGATCTCAGTGGTAGTGCACTGTGCGTCACCGACCATCAAGTCAGTGTTACCGCTTTCCAGCCATTCAAGCCATATAAGCTGATTGCTTCTTGATACCCATTGAGGTGATCTGGCGTTGGGATTCTCAGTGACACAACATGATCGACCAGTCGCAAGGTCCACAACGCGAATCTCCTTTTTCTCTGTTTGAGAGCGGAAAGAGTACGTGCTTTGAGTATACACTGCAAGAGTGCCTGCGGCGTTTGGAGTTGGGTTTGAGCGCTTAGGTGCCTCAAGTAGTGTTCTGGGAGAATTGTCATGCTAAGCATAATCTAAAGGGAAGACTGGAAGGTAGACTTACTCCGAAGTGAGTCTCATCGTGAGTACAGCGCGGCAGTTGATGATCTCTTGAATTTGGGATCATTAACATCGAGAGTAATAGTAGGTCGCTCTGAGGTAAGGGCGAAGCTTGCATAGCGGCCGGCAAGGCTAAAGGCCTCTTATCAGTCTCTAGGGAAAAGGCACTAAAATGATGAATTAAACCCTCATTGATTAATCTATGTTGAGAAATGCTCATGAGCATTCGGACACCAGGGCTTAATATAGCCAATCATACATCTCTAGCTTCCGACTCTGTAAGCACTACCTACTTTCAAAGAGTGGTTGCCTTCGTTGACATGGGGTGGCCTGCTTATTAGGCATGGGTAGTCCTGTTTAACCCTCGGGCTTGCTATCCCAAAGTCTAATATGGAAGAATAACACACGGTTTCACATGTAGTTGTATCAAGCAAAAGGGAGGAGGTACAGAGCGACCACGATGGCTCCACATGATTATCAACAGTCAAGGTCGGTGCAAACAGAGCAAACATCTGATGCACTCGCGTCGCGTCATGGGCGCATCTTGACCAGGTCTTGGTCGCATACTCCTCAACCTTTCACTCTGCTTAATATATCTATTGTCCTGCTTAAGCGACTGGGTAGTCTAGTGGCAAGAGCGACAGCGACAATGAGCACATCTGAATCAGTGGAGCCGTCAGTCGGCACCGACCAGCAGAAGAACTCGCAAGATGCCAGCAAGCGCAGAGAGAGCTTCAGCTCTCAGAACTCGCAAACCGCCAAAGAGTAAGAAGCCTACTTCTAATATGATGGATTTTGATAAGAAAGCCGAAGACTGTGCCGCTGTGTCCTAACACACAATGACCTCTAGATTCATCGAATCGCAAATGCGTCTCGAGGCCGACGCCCGCGAGATCCTACCATACGTGAGTCGGTCTCCTCCCCCTCGCGACAACCAGCAATCCTTATCTGACGCCGTCTAGTCCTTTGATTCCTGCACACAAGCTCTAGGACCCCTGCGACAGAGTCTGTTCGCCTGTCTCACATGCAACCCTCCCTCCGATACGCCAGATGCACCGCACACTTCCGCAGGCGTCTGCTACTCCTGCTCCATCGCTTGCCACGGCGAACATACACTCGTCGAGCTGTTCAATAAGAGAAACTTTGTCTGCGACTGTGGGACAACGCGCGTGTTGTCTGGCCTACCCTGCACGCTTCGCAATGACCCCAAGACCGGTGCAAAGGGCGTTCGGGCCCAAGAGCCAGCGCCGGAGAACAAATACAACCACAATTTTCAGAACAGGTTCTGCGGCTGTGGCGAGGACTACAATGCCTTCGAAGAAAAAGGAACAATGTTTCAGTGCCTTGGGTTGGGTACGGTCGAAACCGGTGGTTGTGGTGAGGATTGGTGGCATCCGGAGTGCCTGATCGGTTTACCAAGGGACTGGTATAAAAAAGCGAAAGCTGCGACGGCGGATGTCGAAACCACGAAGCAGGATAGTGGGGCGGATGACAATGACGATGAGGATACGCCTCTGCCCCCGGGATTCCCGGCTGAAGATGAATTTGAGACATTCTTGTGTTACAAGTGTGTCGAATCTAATCCGTGGTTGAAGCGATACGCAGGAACACCGGGGTTCCTTCCAGCAGTCTATAAGGAGGGCGGACTGTACAAAGGCTTGGAAGAGCAGCGCACAGCCACAGAGCCTTCGAATGTATCTTCCGATCCGTTGACCAACACTAAGAAACGCAAGGCGGACGACGATGACACGACAGAAACAAAGGAGACAAATGAGCCAGCTGCAAAGCGGACACAGTCAGAGCTCGATGGCGAACAGACCCCCACAGAACCAAAGCCAGAGACTACCCAGCCCGAACCCGCCAAACCCAAGCACGATTCCCTCTCTAACCCACCCCCATCTGGAACATTTTCCCTCTTCCTCAAAGAAGACTTCCGCGAGCACTTCTGCCGCTGCCCGGAATGTTTCCCTAACCTAGCCAAATACCCCCAACTCCGCGAAGAGGAGGAAACATACGAGCCCCCTCTCTCGGATGATGGCGAAGCCAACGGCGGAGGCAGCACCGGAACAGGCAGTCTCTACGACCGCGGCGAGGCAGCCCTGAGTAACATCGACCGTGTCCGGGCTATCGAGGGTGCGATGGTGTACAACCACCTCCGCGATAAAGTGAAGGAGTTCCTGAAGCCATTTGCGGAGTCCGGCACCGCTGTCAGCGCGGAGGATATCAAGGCCTACTTTGAGAAGTTGCGTGGTGATGAGCAGCCGATCAAGGATGCTGCTGCTGGTCAGGCCTCCGCTTCTTCCAGGAATGGCGGTAACGAAAAGGACGAGGGAGGAGATGGTCGGAAAGAACAAAGTGGTATGTCTGGTTCGAAATTGTCTGTCGCCTCGGGTTTTGTTGCTGACTCGGAGCAGGTTATTGAGATGACGTCGTCTTTTTCGGCTGAAGATTAACATCAGATTGTAGTTTACGAACACGATAATGAAAGGGACATAGGATTGGGAATCACTGGGCTTTCATTAGGCGTTTATGGAGGGAAGGGATGGATGGAATTTGTACATCAGTGCACCCGCAGTTCGAGCTTGTATCTCTCATGCATTTCGGTTAATTACTACCATTTCACGGTTCAAGGTCATTGGAATGAGGTAAGTTCTTGTATAGTATATAATAATCCGCCAATGATTGCGCCTGAGACAATGAGCAAGTCAGCGCAAATGCGACGATCTAAACTGCGGAATCAGAAAGCCCATAGACGCCAATCCAAGCACCAAATGGTCTATGAGAAGGATCCTAAACGCCAGTCACATGCTTGAGCTCAAATATTGGAAGAAAAAATATATGTAAATCACTCTTTGAGCCGCTTTGCAGCCCTACCCATGAGGCTATCGTCTGGCAGCCCGCTCCGCTTAGTACCGGGTAAACTGCCGGAGCGGATGTCGTTGTCATCTTGAGTGACTCGGCGGTGGGGATATTTGCCCTCGTAGCCCGCGAAGCAATTAGCAGTGATTGGAGTACCGGTGGTAAAATACGGATGCTCCAACGCTTCCCGGGCTGATATCCTCTTGGTAGGGTCGTATTCGAGCAGCCGCGAGAGCAAGTCGAAGCCTTCGGCGCCCGGCGTTCCTGCAGCAGATGCTGGCGAATACCCATTGTTCTTCAGACAACTTTGGTACCATCCTTCCAGATTGCACTGTCTGTTGAGGTAACCTCTCGACATCGCTAACGACTGAAGTTGGGAGAATTCGGGCATCGATACAAGACCGGGCCATGTTTCCTTCCTGGGCAAGCCCATGATGTCGATAATCTTCATCATCTGATTACGCTGGAATGGTACTGTCTTTTTGCTGTCCATCTTAGCTTCTTCCCCCTTAAAGATGGGTCGGAGAGAGAGCAGTTCCGCGAATATGCATCCAACTGCCCAAAGATCCACGGCCGGCGTGTAATGCCGGCTGCCCATTAGTAGTTCCGGAGCACGATACCAGATCGTGACGACAACCTTGTCTCCGGAATAAAGAGAGTTGAGCGGTTTGTAAAATAGACGCGCGAGGCCCAGATCACCAATACGGACTGCACCGCTCGAAGTCACTAGAATGTTGGCTGGCTTCAAATCTCGATGCAAAACCCAATTCGTATGAAGGTATAGCAGGCCATTCAGCAGCTGAAACAATATCGACTTGATCATCGGTGCCGGAATGGCATGTCTCTGCGGCTGAGTGTGGTGATGGATGATCTGGAGCAGATCGTGCTCAGTGTACTCGAATACCATGAAGATACACTTGTCCTCCAAGATGATCTCTGCTAATTGCACCACGTTGGGGTGATCCAATTCAGAGCATAAAGCCATCTCTCGAATTGCCGACTGCGAGAGGCCTGTGTACTGGATGATTTCACCCTCTTTGTCGGGCTTGAATCTTATTTGGTCAGCCACTATAAAAAAAATTAATGAAAGAAATTGACTCACTTCTTGATCGCAAATTCGCCTTTCCTGCCATCCTTTCCGATGGCTTTGTAGACGCGGCCATATGTACCACTGCTGATGAAGCCAACGATGTGATACTTATCCCGTACCCGTACTTTGCTGGTATAGCCAGTTCCGGAGGGTTTCCTCGAGTCTAGATTCTCTTTAAGCAAAAGAGTCAGCATTTTGAAAAACCTGGATGTTCATAGTATATATGCTCGAAACTTCGGTGAATTCCTTATGGTAAAGCAAAGAACAGCGGGTATATAGAAGGAGGCAAACGGCTCAAATGGAGGAAAGTCTCGCGGCAGAGTGATAAACTTATTGGACAGGACACTGAAGCAAATAACGACAGACACATCGCTGGGACTAGCTTAGAGGGAGATTACCACGTGGATAGAACCCGCCGATGGAGTTGAAGAATGGGAAGTTTCTTCCAAACATGATGGGCAAGATACAAAGAAGCCACCGTGAAGCTCAGCAGCCACAACCCAAAGGCCTTTTTATCTTTTCATCTGCAACAAAGCTTAAGACTCTCCGAGAGACAGCAGCACATGAGATGATTCCGAAAAGGGAAAGAAGAAAGTAGAAGACGGAAAAGACGGAAACTTAAGAGGGTCGAGTGGCCAAGGAAAAGAAGAAATGTCAGGAGCTTCTCAAATGGAGTAAATAGGTGACAATATGATATTAACCGGTATTACCATCAACAGCAGCCTGTAAATTCCGTTTTAGAGACAAGTTCTGGCTGACACTGGCCGCAGCGGACCTAGAGGATGCAGTTAACGGGCCGGATGATGAAGGCTGGTTTGTCAGACTCATGGATGGAGATTGGTTAGGTTGGAATAGCAAAAGGGCCCGAAAGGTGGAGGTACGGAGTATCTATCGGTAACCGTTCAAGGGTCACGGTGACTGCGCAGAGTACGGCGTAGTGTACTGGGATCTCCTCATCAGGATCCACGGTCGCAGTAGTGGAGTGGATAGTGCACTATGAGGATGATTGACTGGTCGTCTCCACTACTACTAGAAACAATTGCATGCAGGGACGATGATGAGGATGGGTTTGGAGAGACAAATAGCAATGGCAGTTGAGGATGTTGATGATGCATTGAGTGATCCGGTCTGAGTCTCTTTCTCGACTGTCCCAGATTCCCCCTCTTTTGTTAGTCAGCAGGCACATTGCTTTTCAACATCAGTCACTCTCGCTTCATGAGAGATACAGTGATGATAAGACGAGTAGGATGGATCTGCTTTCTTTATGACTACTGCTGAATGTCCGAATTGTCCTGCATAACTCCATCGCAGTGTCTTCGGCCACTTTTCATTGCTGATACTGATTTGTGTCGTTGCCAAATTGCGGTCTCCCGTATCACACTTCAACATCTGCGGAGTAGATATATACTTTGAAGGCGCTGCTAGTCTCGAGACATAATATTGATGAGGTATTTGCATCAACTTCATAGGCTGACAGTGATGACTTTCCTCCCTGTAGAAAGTAGCCATATTGCTAGGACTGTCGTGTTTAGCGAGTCAGTGTCAATGACTCGAATCAACACGGAGTTTCCTTATCCCGGTAGTCTAAGCTCCCACGGACCCTTACAACGTCATCTGCGACCAAGCGATAGTTACCTACTTACTACGGAGTAGTAGGGTCAGAATACTTTCAGCTTCGATCCCAATAATACAATGCTTCGATATTATTAACTAAATTCCTACCTCGTGGCTCCTTGTATCTTAATTCGGACCAAAAATCACCCCGACAGATCAACAGACCAGTAGCATCATGAGTCCCACTGAGGTGACCCATTCCAGGGTCACGGCGTACCTGGTCTATCTCGTTTTTGTCGTCACACTAGGGCCGCTTCAATTTGGTTATCATCTTGTTCGTGCAAAGCGCTCTTGGATTGCTTGACTCCTGACCGATTACTAACTGTGGACTGAAACAGGCCGAGCTTAATGCCCCCCAGGCTGTCATTACCTGCGAGCAAAAGAGCATCCATTTCACCACTTCAGCATTGTTCGGGACTCTGCCTCAATGTCTTCCAATGAACCCTTCCCAATTCGGTCTGGTGTCCTCCATATACACCCTTGGTGGTTTGCTAGGTGCCCTGCTGGCAGGGCCAGTTTCCACTAAACACGGGCGGTTATTCGCCTTGCGAGCTACAACGATTTTCTTCATTCTGGGTCCGGTAGCGGAAACATTTGCACCCAATCTACTGACCTTGAGTGTCGGTAGGTTGCTGAGTGGTGTTGGTGCGGGTGCTGCTATTGTCGTCGGTCCAATTTATATATCCGAAATTGCCCCGCCCAACGCGAAAGGGTTCTTCGGTGCCTTTACGCAGATTATGACCAATGTAGGTATCCTGTTTACCCAGACGCTCGGCTACTTTCTCAGCAAAGGGGATCAATGGAGGGCCATACTTGCGGTGGCTTGGCTACTCGGGCTTTCGGAACTCCTTGGTCTATTCTTTGTACCTGAAAGTCCCACTTGGCTGGCTGAGCATCAACAGGCGAACTTGGCCAGACAGGTACTGCAGAGGATACGTGGGAAGAATGCAGATATTGAAGAGGAAATTGAAGGATGGAGGAGCTCTGATAGGCCTACAGTACCGGAGGAGGAGTCACTGCTCACCCCTCCTTCCGGCAACTTGCCCCCTAAGCAACCCCCAGTTACGATCCTGCAAGCCGTGACAGACCCATACTACCGACCGGCCATCGTTGCTGTCATCGGAGTGATGGTGGCTCAACAGTTCACCGGCATTAACAGTATCATCATGTATAGTGTCTCACTTCTACAGGGTCTCCTTCCCACGGCAGCGGCTTTGTTAACCGTGATGATCTCAGCCATCAACCTGGTCATTACTCTTGCCTGCTCACCTTTACCTGATAAGATTGGCCGAAAGACCTGCCTGCTTCTGAGCATCTCCGGTATGGGCTGCAACTCCGTCTTGCTGGCGCTCGGGATCTATTTCAACCAGAAAATCTTGTCTGCGATAGCAGCTTTGTTATTTGTGGCCAGCTTCGCGGTTGGCTTAGGTCCAGTACCTTTTATCTTGGCTTCTGAGCTAGTCGGTCCCGAGGCTGTGGGTGCGACGCAGAGCTGGGCGCTGGCGGCCAACTGGACCGCAACGTTCATCGTGGCTCAGTTCTTCCCGGTGCTCAACGACGCATTGGGCGGCCGTGGCAAGATCTACTGGATCTTTGCGGTACTGGCTTGCCTTCTTGGAGGCTTCATCTACGGATGGGTGCCTGAAACCAAGGGCAAGGCCAATGCCGATGAGGTATGGGGAAGGGAAGACTCGCGGCGGAGAGACTAATACCTTTCTCATTATCTCCGAGTACTCTGTTAATTTAGCAAGGAATCGAAGCTTACATCCGTATACTCATGTCATTGTCATGCCCAGGTTCGGAACGGACCGAGGCAATATCTCGGCTAAATTTTCCTCGCATCATATTGTGAAATCGCATAAAGAATCCATTGGAATTGTCATGAGTAACACTATATACTTTGACCGCATCTAGTTCTACTATGATTGACGCTCTTTGGTGAGCTTACGAAGTAGCATTGTCAGAAGGCCACTGAGCTACAAGTCCGCCTTACTGCGTCTCAACGTTGCTGAGTTCCCTAATTCACATTGGGATGGTTATAAAACCAGTGGCAATGAAAAAAAGGATCATAAAGATAGGTATCCATAGTAAGGTAGGTAGTGTCATATTGACAGGAACAACTCCACCCAGTCAGAGGGACTGTATGGTACATCCCCCACTCATCCGTCACTTATCCATTGAGGGGAAGTGTGGGAGTCGGTCTCATGGAAGAAGAAAGTTGACTAGTCATGCAAGAAAGACGTCAACAGACTTGAGTATGTTGCATTGGTGCACATTGGCATGCATACGAGGAATCTCTGGAGTTTGTCCCCTTGAATATGAAATATGTATTGAGCCACACTGGTCTATGGTAGAGAGTAGGCAGCCACATTCAAGTATACCTAGCCTCAATGCCTCATTGCTCGACAGTCAACAGTTGTGGTGGGGGCACGACTTGTGATTGTTGCGCTGTGGGTGGATTAACATTTGATCTTCCAACAGCTCTTTTTTCTGTCACTTTCTATCATTTGCCTGTTTTGTGTCTGACCTTGACGTCTTTGAGCATCACCCGAGTCTTCCGGCAGACTCGAGGTATGTATGTACATTGAAGCTTTGCAGCTTGCGAAAAAATGACGATTGATCGGATTCACTCGACAAATGGCAATTATGAATCTTTCCCCCTCCACGCTTAATTTATAATCCTGCATATTATTACCCTGTAGATAGATACTCTTCCTAGGGCCTACGTGAGAATCAGCTAGAGAAGGCTCAAGCCCCCACCAAGGAAACAGAAATATAGTACTATCCGTACTAATAGTCTTGGTGCTTCTTGTTGTTCTCTTACTTATTTTGAGTAGTCTATCTATCCCCCTACCGATGTTTTCATCACCTTTTTTTCTTCTGTCTTTTTCTTCACGTATCCACCGCGGCTCCCTTAGGTCAGGGTGTCAAGAACTTCAATTGCATTGTTGTTAGAGTTTGCTTCCTAATTCTCTCTTGGTAATTTCCAAACTGCTGTCAACTCTGCCATACATATTGTGGACTTTCGTGGTGGCTCCCGTTTCTTGGTGTGCTCTGATCGACCCGACCAGATCTTAGATCGACCCGGATTCAACCACACCGCGACGTCCTCCCGTCGTTGGACGGTCTTGGAACCAGCCCTTCGCGATTCATTATATCGTCATTCTTTTTAGGATCTCTCCCTGATCTCATTACTAAAACATCCTAGACATCATCTTCTCTCAGACTCTAGAATATCCCCCGGGGTTGACGCGACGTGTCCTCCATCTGCCAGCTTAAGCAGCTCCCCCGCAATTTCCGCCATCCACCATGGTGCGGTTACCATTGCCTCAACGTCTCAGCTCCCATCTCAGTGTGAAGAGCAATGCTTCGACTCCCGGTCAGAGCAGAAGCACAAGCCCTATGAGAACCCCTGAAATGAGGCCGCTGGTTCTCAAGGTTTCTGCAATCAGGGTAAGTGGGCCTTTTCTCCAGCCCGGAGCTGCCGCTGAGCTCCGTGGTATGTCACTTCTGGAGGCTAACATCTCAATTTCAACAACATCAGGGCAGAAACCTTGCAGCTAAAGATCGAGGTGGAACCAGTGATCCGGTGAGCTTTGTCCATGGATGCCAAAACAGAGGTCAGGGCTGATCATGTTACGTATTTAGTATCTAGTTGTTACACTCGGAGACTCAAGACAATCGACCCCAACGATACCGAAGACATTGAATCCGGAATGGAACGTGACTTTCGAGATGCCGGTGGTCGGTGTACCTTTGCTGGAGTGTATCTGCTGGGATCATGACAGATTCGGGAAAGACTACCTGGGAGAGTTTGACATCCCCCTCGAAGACATCTTCGCCGATGGCGAAATCAATCAGCCGGTGAGTGCTGAGGATACAATAGCTTAGAGCGTGGTCGCCAGCTGATCGTCTGTCAAGCCCAAATGGTATACACTCAAGTCGAAGCGGAAGCCAGCCAAGAAGAAGGACAACACCGTGTCTGGAGAGATCCTCCTTCAATTTACGCTGATTGACCCGACGAACGTATCGGCACCCCCGAGCGAGACCTATCAAAAGTTCAGGAGCTTGGTTTGCGCCGGCGAGGAAGACGAGGATCTTCCGCAAGTCCCGACAAACGAATCAGATGATGCCGACAGGGACGAGGAGACCTCGGATGAGACCGACGACCTGACGAAACCAGAGATTGTGGAAAAGAGGAGGAAACGACTCCGGCTCGCTCGCTTGAAACGGAAATCACTAGCAGCCCGGGCGTACCAATTTTCGGGAGCCGGCAATGGAGTGCAGGGTATCGTGTTCATGGAGATTGTGCAGGTAACAGATCTTCCGCCGGAACGGAACGGTATGACTCAATTTCGAATCCCAGGATTCAAGACGCTTGCTGACTTAGAAAAGTGACACGTACTTCCTTTGACATGGATCCGTTTGTCGTGACCTCGCTTGGACGGAAAACGCTCAGGACTCCCGTCGTTCGTCACAACCTGAACCCGATCTACAACGAGAAGATGGTCTTCCAGGTCATGAAACATGAACAGTCCTACACGATCAGCTTTACTGTCATGGATCGAGATAAGTTCTCCGGCAACGACTTTGTTGCATCGGCTGGGTTTCCACTGCAGACCTTGATCCAGGCTGCTCCTGAGGCAGATCCGGAGACGGGGCTCTATCGGCTGCGGGATCCATCACTTAGCCCAGCAGGATCTGATACAAGCTCTGTCGGTAAATCAGGAGCCAAATCTGGTGTCAGTCCTTCACCGTCGACTCACAGTCTTTCGAAAATGTCACGGCCCGGTTTAGTAAGGTCGAGAAGCTCTACTGCCTCACTTTCTGCCCAGTCTCAATCAGAACAACCAGCTGCCTCTCCGCCTACCACCGTCCCGGAGGAGAGAGAAAGCAGCAGCAATATTTCTAGCTCCCCTACTGCTACTGGAGTCGAGGTGGGTCAGATCGACTCGCATGACCTTCGAGTGTACAAGATCCCTTTGATACTAAAGAACAAGGAACGGTGGGAGGACAAGCACTCCCCAGAGATTATCGTGAAAGCGAAATACATGCCCTACCGTGCGCTTCGTCAACAATTCTGGAGACTCATGCTCAAACAATATGACGCTGACGACAGTGGTCGAATCGACAAGGTCGAGTTGACAACGATGCTTGACACTCTCGGTTCGACCTTGAAAGAGTCCACGATTGACAGTTTCTTCCAACGATTCAGAGCCGAAAACGAGCCCATCGAGACTATGGATCTGAGTTTCGACCAAGTTGTGATGTGCCTGGAGGATACACTGCAGGCGCTGCAAAAGGACCCTCGGACCGTTGCCAGGACGCAACCCCGAACCCCGTCTTCAGGTGGCAGTCAAGGAAGCGGAGAACAATCTGACGGCGACGAGTTCCCCCTCGAGACCAGCACAACACTGCCGGCCAATACTGATCCTGGCGCAACGTCCGTACCGACATTAGGCCAGGAAGAGCAACCGTCCACGAGCGAGGAAGATCTTCATCCCGATGATCTTGGTGATGAGCGCGGCGAAGAGCACGTTGTTGAGATTAGGGAGTGTCCTCTGTGCCATCAACCGCGGCTCGCCAAGCGCTCAGATGCGGACATTATCACCCACATTGCTACATGCGCGAGTCAAGACTGGCGACAGGTTGACAATCTTGTGATGGGCGGCTTTGTCACTTCTAGCCAGGCGCAACGCAAGTGGTACTCCAAAGTTATCACAAAGATATCTTACGGTGGCTACAAGCTAGGCGCTAATTCCGCCAATATCCTTGTTCAAGATCGAATTACAGGGCAGATCAACGAGGAGCGAATGAGCGTATACGTCCGTCTGGGTATTCGGCTCCTCTACAGAGGCCTCAAGAGTCGGGAGATGGAGAAGAAGCGAAGTAAGTTACTGACAAACGAAGAACCCGGGAAGGATTGAAGGTTGACCTCAAGCTACAGTTCGTAAAATTCTCAAGTCGCTGAGCATCAAACAAGGCAAGAAATATGATGATCCAGCTTCCGCAGCTCAGATCCAGGACTTCATCAACTTTCATCAGCTTGACCTGTCAGAGGTTCTGCTACCCCTTGACCAATTCAAGACATTCAACGAGTTCTTTTACCGGCAATTGAAGCCTGGCGCACGCCCTTGTTCGGCTCCAAATGAGCCGAGAATCATCGTGTCGCCTGCTGACTGCCGATCGGTTGTTTTTGACCGCATCGACGAGGCGAGCAGTATCTGGGTCAAGGGCAGGGAGTTCTCCATTGAGAGGCTTCTCGGAAATGCATACCCCGAGGATGCTCCGCGCTACAAGAATGGTGCCTTGGGAGTTTTCCGTCTGGCTCCTCAGGACTACCATCGCTTCCATATTCCCGTGGACGGTGTTATGGGTATCCCCAAGACTATCGAGGGCGAGTACTACACAGTGAACCCGATGGCGATCCGTTCTGCACTGGATGTGTACGGTGAAAATGTAAGAATACTTGTGCCGATCGACTCGGTCGCCCACGGCCGGGTCATGGTGGTCTGCGTGGGAGCCATGATGGTCGGAAGCACGGTGATCACCCGGAAGGCAGGCGAGAAGGTCACACGTGGTGAAGAGCTTGGATACTTCAAGTTTGGCGGAAGTACTGTGCTGCTCCTCTTCGAGGAAGGCGTGATGAAGTTCGATAGTGACCTGGTCGATAATTCTAGGGGTGCTTTGGAGACTTTGGTGAGCAAAAAACCCTTGCTGATCCTGATGCTTACTTGTCGGCCCTCGCTAATCTTGAAATCTGCCGTATTCAGATCCGAGTGGGGATGTCTGTTGGCCACAGTCCCGAGATCCCTCAGTTCGAGCCCGACATGCCTAAGCCAACCGAAGAAGTCAGCCTTGAGGAGATGCAAGACGCCAAGCGTAGAATAGAGGGCAGCCTGGCTCCTCCGACTGCTGCTGCTTTCGCGTTGCAATGATCAGTTTGCTTCTCTTCCAGATGTTTTCACTTGAGAGCGCTTGCAGTGTTATTCTTAAAGAGGCCTGGGGCCTATCATCTCAGCATTCACTAGCATTTGAAGGTTCTCTGGCTGGGAGAGCGTGTACATGTTGAATAGTGTTGCAGTGGACATAATAGACGCAGCCAAGGGATGTCTCAGACGGTGCATCAATTATTGCGTGACGTACATAGACAACTCATACCTTTTCATATCCATTACATTCAACAATATAGTATCGTTCCTTGAATTGTTAAATATGCTTCTTAGAAGTGTTCGACTGCCAGAAAGTGTCCCTCCCAAAACAGCTTAGCGCCGTCCTCCACGCGCCACGACCAAAACAACCGCGTGCTGCAGCGACTTGCAAGAGCAAAACCCCGTCACCCCGACGCCAATGTTGATGTTCTAGCTGCGCAAGCAGGCATATTGCACCTTTCGCCAGACAATCGATGAATCCGGTCTAGTCGGCTTGACAGTCGCTGTCAATTGCGAACGTACGGCAAGGGGTCGATAGAATTGCGACCGATACATATCAACAAACCCAGAAACACCGCCCGCCCGACCAGGCAACCTGCGACCGTGCAATCGCTCCGGATTCTAGTCGCGTCAGCAAGAGAACCTGCTTTCGCTTTTACTCGGATAACAAATTGGATTGAACCGTCGTCGTCTCGTCTTGCGCAGCGGCCGGTGAGAAGAGCGGGGGAGGTCATACAAACAACACTTCGAATTGGATCATACGCGGGGTGGGAGTTATACTCGGATCTCATCGACATTTTTGGTGCATCAGGCGCTGGAGCACAGTGTTTCACACTACGGAAGAGACGGGGTCTGATCCGTTCGCTTGCATACCTACGTCACAACATACGACCCCGGCCCTGACATGACCGTCACGGTTCTCGCCGCCCCCACGACAAAGACCAAGACCAAGACCAGAACGAAAGAGCGCGAACCGCTTCGGGAAATCGATATGGCTGCGTCCCAGGCGCAGGCGCGTTCGGCGTCTGGCGGCGCGAGCGGGAGTGGCAGGGGGAGGGGGGGCCGATCGAGCGCGCGATTGAATAAGGCACAGGGAAAGGGGGTGCTGTATACACCTCTGACGGGG